TTACTAAACAATAATATCGGTTTTATATGAAAAATAAGATTGTAAATAAATTATTATAATAAAATCTTAAATTTGATTGGTTGGCCTATCGTGGGACCACATATAGAAACGCGTTATTTCGAGATGCGCGTGTTTTTTTTTGAGTCAATATACGGTTTTAAAAAAGTAAAATTTCAAAATAACGTCCATATGTGTTATTACTGCACGTGCAAATATAGTAAAGCTGCTTCTCTGTTGTTTTAGGGACATAAAATAGTCAAATTTAAGGTGCCAGTATTAAAATGATTAATAGTTGATCGACTTAGAACATTTTAGCGAGGATAAAAAAGATCCAACCGTTTCTTTTGCGGACACCAGAAACGAGAGATGCAAATTTAAATTGGCGGTTGAGTCACAGGTCGATTAAGGCAAATCGGGCACCAATCGGCATCACACAATCCCGATATGGCCTGATTGGATACAAATCGGGTTCATATAGGCGTTCAATATCTGTTTCAAATCAGGTTCATATCGGGATTGCATGATGCCTATTGGAGCCTTCATTCGACCTGTGAGAATCATGCAGATTTAATGTTAAATCATGCAGATTCTTTTTTTTTTTTAATGTTAAAGGTGAGACATCATGCAGATTCTTTTTTTTTAATGTTTAAAGGTGAGACATCATGCAGGTTCCTGTAGTGTTACACTGAGTGAAGTTGCTATGAAATTTGGAAAGACTAATTTAAAAAACGTAAATCCAAATGAATGCTTTAGAATTGGAATAACTTAGACAAAGTGATAGGAATAGTCAGTTATTGGGTTCCATACACTTCACCGACGCTCATTTGGTAGACACGATACTTCGCCGACAAGTAATTCATATATATGTTTTTTTCTTATATCATGAATTGCACTAACCATAACCCTAGTTCTAAACTAATCCTAATGACTAGAATTACTTTGTCTGTGAAATGAACTGTCTACGAAATGAGCTGTCGGTAAAACAAACTTTATATGAAGTGAACTTGTCTATGAATTGATTGTTTATAAAAAAAATTGATTGAGCAGAATCGCAGTTGTTACTAGGGACATTACATATTTCTTATTATATTAATAGAAAATATTGAACGCCGAAATGGCTTTCTGTGATGAATCAAAAAATGTAACTTTTGTATTATGCCCTCCAGACAATTAACGATTTTTTTTGGACCTTGAGAAAAAATATATTGACAAGGACAAAGTAATGTAAGTTTGGAAGTTTAGAGGCATTCTCGAATTTTACGAGCTTGTAAAGTTTAAATATCGAAAGTTATAAGATATCTTTGTAACTTTTTTTAACTTCGAAAATACTATATATTAAATATGAATAGTAAATTATGATGTTTAAGGATATTTTTCAAACTTGAGAGTTTTAGAATTCAAATATCAAATTTACTAGATAGATTCTTGCCAAGAGAGCCAAGAGAACTCTAATTTTATTATTAGCAACCGAATTTGATTGGAGCAGATAGTGTGAAAATCCTTTTATTAACCATAGTTTTCTGATTTTCGTTTAAGGCATGTCAAATGCATTAAAAGTTTAAAATGCATTCGGCTATTAGATTGGTAAATCATATGGAAGAACTGTGATACAAAAACAAGGTGGCTTTGTTATTAAAAAAAGTATTGTGGGGAGATTATGAGAGAAAAATAAACAAAAAAGTAATACGAATTTAATAACGGAGATTTCACCGAGATTATTGCTAGTTTAGTCAGTCACATTGTAGTTTGTTTACGCATAACATGAATAAGCGGACGTTCTATTTCATTACAGAAAATTCTGCAGTGAACTTAGAAGAAAAGCCTTCTCATCAAATTAATTTGACAAAGAACCACATGTCTTATTGCCAATTCTGAGTGAATCAATAATAGATTGTTTTAGATAATAAAGACCTGGACATTGTCTTTGCGCATACATAGGTAACAATTTGTGAAGCATTACACTTTAGGTAGAGCACCAAGTGTTTCTCGAATATAGATAACAAACGAAGAACATTGCTTTTTTAAGATAAATTAATGATATTGTTTGGTAGAATTAAAAGAAAATTTATGTTAATATATAGATAAATACTTATATTCGTTTTCATATTAATAGGTCAACTTTTCTATTATGTCTCAAACTCGTAAAAAGGCGTTCAGAAATATTATTGTCAGCGAATACTCACACGTCCATTACACACGTTTCAGATTTACGAAAATAAAATAAAATATTAAAATATTAGAATATTATAGTAGAATAAATAAACAGTTAGAAAGAGAATTTTATGTACGTTTACTTAATTGTTTAAAAATTTGGTCGGAGTAAGGTTCACGAATATTCATTCATTGATTTAAATAACCTGAAACGTTTTAACTTACACAAAAGCCAAAGCTTACATTTTTTACGAGTAATTGTAAATTCAAGATTATTATGATTTTACCTTTTACTATGTTTCTGTGACTAGTAATTTATGCTTAGTCATGTTTATGATGGTTTTGAGTGAAACCTTTCGCGGTTACATTGACGTGTCACGCATGCCTATGCGCAAAAATTATGGTCGATCATTAATAATGTCGAATGCAAACTGCAAAATGATAAAGTAACCAGATAAATTACTTGTGAAAAGTGTAGAAAATTCTTTTTTTTATTTTTTTTTTATTAATAAAAATTTTAATTGGTTCCCTAATGATCGGTGTGGATTTGCTAATGAGGCTTAAGTAGTCGAAAAACGTGGGCTACTTTCGCTAATACCAATTCACAATACAATATAAACAATAATCTAACCTGCATTAAATAAATTGAATAAATGCTATCATATCGATTTGACGTTTAATGTTTACATCGTGATGTGATCCAGGATCTGCAATTATTCAAAAGAGTATCCAATATCTATTATTAAAATTTCTTATGTGCATAATATGAAATTTATTAATGACTATGATAATATAATAAAAATATTAAAATTTTTCTGTACTATGTACTGTATATTATTCCATGCTTTGTTGAAAAAAAGCTTTGTATGGCGATGAAATAATAACCGGCAAAGCTAAATTATTTTCTGATGTAAAATTCAAAATTCCGTGTAAAACTCAGTATAAATTTGTAACTCAGTATCACTTAATTTCTATTTTAATGTACTATTTTTTTATGGTTCATCGAAACATAGAAGACCCATTTTAATGCAATTTAATGGTTTCAGATTCATAGTAATGATGTTCAAAGGGTTTACATTTCTATACAAATCTAGTTAACTAGAAAATTTGTGCTTCAAATATTTCCGCGATCCATGCATTATGTTACACATGTTACATTTTGATTTTTGTTTATAGATTTTTGTGTTTAAAGATGGATAATAGGATCTTCTTATTGTTCCTTCGAAATCTAAATCTAAAAACGTTCAGTTGATAAATGCCATACATGGAATGAATGACAAATAGTGTTTGACTTTCTACTAGCAGCTAGATGATAATAGCAATCCTCAACAGTACACGAATCCGAATTAGGATAATTAGTTCTAATATTAGAAATGTTAGTAAATTTATTTATTTAATTTCAAAAAGAATTTTTTTTTTTTAAAACGCACCCAAAGTAGAAAACAATAATTACTATAAAAAACAAGTCCGAAAAATGAATTTCACCGACTTTCCGATTCTAACTTGTCAAATTTTTTATTAATCGGCATGATGCATGGTTTTTTTTTTCTTGCCAAAAATATAATCTAGCTATAAAATTCATTTAAATAATATATTAAATATATTAAATATATATTAACGTTAATAAAATTGTCGATTCAAAAAAATTTCTTGGTTTTATTTTCGTAATACTTGCATTAAGTAAATTAATTTATACCGAAAATTATGGCCATAAATATTAGGATTAACATTAAAAGAATAAGTAATAAATAAATTAATCTTACGTTACATATAAACATTCCGATTCTAAATTTATTTAGAAAAAAAAAAAAAAAATTTAAAATTGTTTTTTAAATATTTCTCAAATTCGAAACTTTATAATGTTAATTTCCTTTAAATGTAAAGTGATCACAAATTCCATTTTTGGTCAGTATCGTCTTTGTTCTGAATTCGACTGCAGGCCCAAGTTTTAGAGAGATCTTTGATGTCATTGTTACTATGTATAAGTCACCTTCACATGCATATTTGCATAATATCGATATATAAATGTATTTATTTATATGAAATCCCAGTTTTTTCTAACAAAAGGAACGGTAAAATTTTTACCTTTGTATAATAAAAAATAAAAAAAAAATAAAAAAATTCCTGTTTTATTTTTTATTAATCTTATTTATATATATATAAAAAAAAAAAAATAGTATATGACAGCCTTACGAGTAAATAACATGAATAAATCAACTTCTGGTTGTCATATAAGTCGAAAAGATGACGTAAATACCAATAATATAGGAATAGGATATCCTGGCGATAAATCTTTATCCGTAAAAAGTGAATTTTACTCATCCATGTCACAAGAGGAACGTCAAAAAATGGAAGAACAACAACGATTACTTTTGGCTCAAATACAAGAACAAAGTGATAGTGACGATGATAGTTATGATGATGATAATGATAATTATGATTCTACCTATAATTCTTCAATACTTTCTTTAATCTCTTCTTACGCTAGTGAATATATTGATATTCAACGTGAAGATTTTAAAGATGTCAAAGAAATTATACCTCTCACTCCGAAACCTTTGAATTCTCCTACTTCCCCAAGAACTGTTTCTCTTGGAAAAATAAATCTTGCTTCGTTAAAAGGTGCTTTAAATCGTCCTAGGAATTCAAAGCATCTTAAAAAGTTGAGCGAAATGAACATTTCTCCTCCTGAAGCAAACGAACCAATTCTATTTGAATCCAAAGTTGCAAAATGGTCTTCTTCTGCTCTTAAAAAATCTTCAAATAAATATCTTATTTTAACAAGAAATTCTTTATGCGCTTTTAAAAGTGCCGATAAAGCCGCTAAAATATTTGATGGTTTACCTCTTTGTACTCTACCAAGAAAATTAAGTGCTGATAGTAGTTCCTCTTTAGATACTACGAATCAATTGGACTCAAATGCTAAAACTTTACCCGCTGAACACGTTATACTTTGTCTGGCTACAATTTTTGCTATTACCGAACAGCTCACTCCTGAACCTCATATAAGGATAGATCATATGTCTTCCCTAAAAAAACAAGTTACTGTTTCTATAACTGCTCCTGATCTTCAAAAACATCGTCAATGGCTCACTGTTTTAAGATCCGCTGTTCATAATGCTGGCCCAATAGGTCCTTTATTAACTTATGATCAACGAACTTGGATAATGAATAAATTAAGTTCTTTAGATGATTTATCTGATGAAAATGAACGAAAATTAGTGGCTTATAGAGTATTACTTAAATCTTTATCTGATGAGGATCAAGATGGTCAATCTGATAAAGATGCTAAAACTCCTGTACTATTGATATTAGGAAAAAACAATTTTTATATAATTCCAAGTAATTTAAGAAATGATGGATTACCAAGTGAGGATAATCGTAAAAGTAATGATTACAAGATCAACTCTACAAAAAATTCTAATTTAATAAAAGAAATCGATTTTTGGAAATATAAATATCCTTTATTATGTATCACTGATATCCGTTCAAATACTCTTGATGATACTTTTATGATTAGTTTTAAAAATAATATTAATTTCTCAAAACGAACGATTGTTATTTCTTCTCTTTTAAGTGATACTATAATAACTGAGATTAAATCTATTGTCAATTCAATTACTTTTTGGTGGACGGACCCTTCTTACAAATCAAATCCTATGTCTCCAATTTCTCCTGTATCTTCTCTAACGTCTCCAACCGGAAAGATATCTCAAGAAACTGGTATAGGAAGAATGATTGAAGCTCAGTGTCATGTATTAAATATCTCTAAATCTAGAATATCATTTCATATCGAATATGTTCTTGGATTTGAAAGTGTTCAAGTTGGTGTTGATAATTTACCATTTAAATTCGTGTTACTTCCTCCAAAAGGTGTAAAAAATGAAACTTACACAAATAATGAATTAATGGCTATATTTAATTCATTAAAGTATCATCCATTACTTTTGGAGATTGTTTTGAGTAACATCAATTTATTTGAACTTCAAATTCAACCGAGTTCTCCAAATAATGAAGGATGTAATATGCTTGCCACTGTATTATATGGTTTATTAATATCAAATTCTAAGCTAAAAACATTAAACTTGAGCTCATGTGGAATTACGAGTGAAACTATAACTGAGATCGGAAATGCATTATTCACAGGAAAGGCTAGTTTGGATCGATTAATATTAAGTGATAGTTCTATAACGAGAGAAAGTGCTCAAGCATTAGCAAATGGAATAATGAAACATTCGTCATCAATTAAAGAACTTGATATTTCAAATTGTAAATTAAATTATGATGGCTTAATGTTGATACTTCAAGCACTTTACACAAAAAAACCAGAAGAACTCGAATCATTAAATCTTTCAAATAATATATGTGATGTTGATGAAGTTATTTTAATAGAATTATTCTCAAGATCCAAAAATTTACGTTCATTAAATATACGTAATTGTTTAAAATTCTTTACTGGATCAAAACCAATAATTTCATTAGAAACATTTAATGAAACACGACTCACTACATTAGATTTTGGTGGAATTCCATTGAACAATAAAACACATTTACTGTCATTATATGCATATATCCGATCTCCAGCATTTGCTAAAGTAAAATATTTTAGTATTGATCATTGTAATTTAGATGGTGAAGCATTAGCTATAATACTTTCTTATATTACTACATCACCAAATTATGAAACGATTAGAGTTTGGGCCGGAGGAAATTTCATTGCGAAAACACCAGCTAGTTGTAAAGAATTTTGTTATGCTGTGCGTAATGATTGGACTCCTGTTTGGTTATCATTGGAAAACTCTATTATCGGTTCAAATGCTGAACAAGTGGTCGAAATTTTATCTTCATTTTGTGAAAACACTGTTATAAAATACTTGGATTTATCAAATCCTCAATTTATATCTAATGAAACAGTTACACAAAATTCTCAAATGACGACGACCATTAAAAAAGCTTGTGATGTTATTGGAAAGTTATTTAAAACGAATAATCATATCTTGGAATTAAATTTACGAGGCAATTCAGATCGAAAATGGGGTCCTTCTTTAGGTACACAATTACTGGAATTAGAGGATAATGCTAAATTGGAGAAATTAAATATAGAGGGAAATTCTATCGGTGATCAAGGTATAAAATCGTTAAGTGAAGCTTTGAAAAGAAATGTGTCACTGAAAAGTTTAAGGATCGACAGAAATGAGGTAATTTTTTGCGAAAATAATATTTTAATATCTTTGAATATGATTTGAACGTGTGTATTATTAACATCCCTTTTTTTTTTTACGCGTTAATAGATCGGAATTGAAGGATATGTATCCCTACATCAAGTTCTAATATCCCGTCAAAATACAACACTTCAAAATCTTGGATATCCATTAAAAGATCTACAAACTCATAATGAAAATTTAGATGCTAAATTAACAACAACGTCACCAATTTCGAAAACAATTTCGAAAGCCAATCAAAAAATTATTTCAGAAAAACAAAAGGGTAATTTCAAACAAATAATTGATGAAATTATGTTTATCATTGAAGAAAATTCGTATAAAATGTCGAAGACAGTAATGATCAATAACACCTTAAAAAAATGAAATGTAAAGTATTTTTAGAATTACATAATATATAATTTTTTGCTTTTTTTTTTTTTTTTTGTTTAGAAAAGTTATTAATTCGACCATCTAAGTGAGCCTACCACCTCAAACTAATGTAGGATATAATTTTCACCTCGAAAAAACTTACTATTTTATTATATTATATAAAGATGGGTAATTTCAAAGAGATAAAGTAAATATTTAGATTAAAAAAATACATTTAACGTAAATTTAATTTTTTATTAAAGATAATAAAAATGTTTAATCTCAATTCTCAACATTTTTGTTGTGCGAATCATTGATCTGGTTTGGTGTTCGATTTATGCTTAATAACTTACGCGATCGTTTGAACAAAATAAATCTATCACGTGGAATAAAATAATTTGAATGATTTGGATGTACGTACGTACGTGCGTACGTAACTCATTTGCATACCACCAGGGTTCCCAATTATAAGTTATTTATGTAAATAGATACGAACCTTATTAAATTTGAAATTTTTGATAATCTATATTTGACCTCCGACGTGTCTCGTGACGTGGCTTTCTTATATTTGTCCGCATCATATTTGAGAAGTCATCAGATTGGAATGCATATATGATAACTACTGTATGATAGCAAAGGCAAACCAATAAAATACTATAGCGTCTGAATTCTATCTAAACCGTTAGGTATTAGCGGAAACGAAGTTTCCCGTTTGTACACGTACGGGGTGTTCAATCGATTATTATTTTCAGATTTTTGATGAATATATGAATTCGCACTACTTTAGGTACTCTTTTTTTTTTTTTTTACCCAACTAACATACAAAATCGTATCGTATTTTTTTTCTTTGCTATAGTTCTAGACTAGCTCTATATTGTAACATTGTAATAGAGGGTTCTACCATAAAATCCCGAAAACCATAGAACATAATACCGACCAAATTGGCCAACATTATAACTAATGCTGGCTAACTTTGTCGGTATTATGTCCCTTCGGGAATCTGTCTTTCGGGATTTTGTGGTAAACCCGAAACTAATATACCTGAGTGATAATATTCAGATAAAATTTTGAATTCGGATAATTATATCGAATTATCCGGCTATCCGCCATTTAATTTATGATCGTTATTTACAAGTCACCAATGGAAGTCACCATCAGCTAGTTGAGTTTTACCTTTTTTAAAACCCAATATTATACGTGTCTACATGGTAATTATTTCTTATCTTCCGGTTTATCTGAACATCTTTCGGAGTAAGTCAAAGACGGATAGACAGATACAGATAAACTCCGGTTTATCTGAACGGATAGACGGATCCCACCTCAAAAATGTCGATATAACCAGAGTTATTGCATTATATAGTATAATAATAATATAATAATAATAATAATAATAATAATAATAATAAAATGTCTGGAGAATTGCTTCGTTATAATGAGGGATCCGCTTTAATGGGGTCTGCTATAACGAGAATAGAGTGTATTTTGAACTGGTCAATCTATTTAATTTATTAGGGAATATGTCTGATAATTGAAAGCCTGTTGACAGGTTTTCCCTTGGCGGCACTCATATATGACCCTAACTATGTTTGATTAGTTAGTCGATTGAACACCCTAACGGATCAGATATTTTTATTAAATACCCGTAATCTCAATTAAACAACTAGTTTAGTTCACACACTGAAAATCTAACACAAAATAAGAATGAAAAAGTATTAAAAAAAAATAATAAAATAGTCAACACTGATAAAATTTTTTTTTATGTATTGAGTTTGCAATGACTATTAAAAAAGATTAGTAATGGGCGCCGCGCGGGATTATAATTAGCCGATCTGCATTAGCATAGTGTTAACAAAAGATCACTGGCAAATATAGATAAAGTTCATACTCATACGTATACATATGGTCCAGATTGTTAGGTGTCTTATTTTAATAATAGGTATAATAGTAATCTGAACTATTTTACAAAGCTTTGTTTACATCCCACGTATTATGTAAAGAAAATTTGGGGCAAACGCAGATTGTTCATCTCTATCCACGCGTGATACGTGGAGAGAAATCTACAAATCACAACAGATTATATAAAATGTTTAAAAACCTGTCATTTAACGACGAATCTAACCTAAATAGTCGGTTTTCAATTTTCAATTAGTGGAAAATAATTTAGCCGGTCAAGTCAGTTCATTATCGCGATGAGAAAAAAAGATGGTCGAGACCATCTTTTTTATCGTAGATTTGTGTTGATTGGCTAAAATTTAATGTATCCTTCAATTATCGCGGTACCTTGCTTGAGAGCACTCTTGGTACGGAATTATGCATTATTTATTTCCCGCGTATGCGAAAATAAGAGGTAAACCCATAATCAGCTGTCCTCCAGGTAATAGAAATTTATCGTAATGGGAAATATGGTGTTATTCTTTATTAATATGACACCGTGATGAGTTTTCAACTCAAATAGCTTTCTTTTATAACTTTTTCTATACTAACTAAAATAATCTTCATCTTTAATAATACAATCAATTTAAAAAAACTTTTGCCTTTTATAATAGCGCAGACTAAGAAAATTATAAAAAACCTTTGCACTAAATAACTCGTATTTTATTATGTGATTAAAAGAATTTTAAAGCCTTCGTTTAAATAACCTTATAGCGACGGCTAAGAGATTTTAAAACCTTCATCCAAATAATACTATTGTGCTAGCTAAGAGAATTATTTTCAAACCTGGTATAATACACCCAGAGAAATAACTAAAGATTATTATCTTGTTTTAAAATAATTATTGCAAATATTTTAAATTAGTGGCAAGAATAATCAGATTCTTAGGGTTATGCCTACAGCGTAGAAAACCAGATATTAAAAATATCCGAGTGAACTATTAATAAAAACTATCCAGATACAATTTCTACAGGATTTATTTAAGTTATAGTTTATAGTAAACTTTACAAAAAAAATTTTTTTAAACATATGAAGAACTTTGTTTTAAATTGGTTCAGCAATAATAATTGCTATATATATATATATATAACAAATTTTTTTAATTTAAATATTAGTAAACTATTAGCTATTCCTCTCAATAATCGGATTGGTATTGAATTAACTTATTTCGAAAATAAGTGGGTTTAAAAAGATTATGTCTCCTGCTTTAAAATTTCGAATCAGAAAAAAATTAAATAGACGTAGCCAGTGATAAAATTAGCTTCTTTCGACAAATACCTACCAGTAAGCGATTATATTGATATACTGTATTAAAAATTTTGATCTTCAACGCGTCTGTCTGTGGCGCATTTCTTTTATACAGTATTTGTTCTGCATCATGTTCAAAAGGAGTCTAACTTATGCATTAGATGAAATACATATCGTGAGTATAATAATAGGGGCAAAACAATAAATACTATAGTGGTTGAATTCTTTACAATAACATACTCTATTTCAATTAAGCAATTATAGAGATTCACTCCGAAAGTCTAACGCCAAAGAAAAATCAATAAAACGGATAAATCTTTTTTATTCAATAAATATTATACTATATCGCGATTTTGGGTCAAAATCCCGAACAATAGATCCCCGAAAGAACGTAATACCGACAAAGTTAGCCGGCACTAGCCATAATGCTGGCCAATTTAGTCGGTATTATGT